AATTTAGCAGGGGCTTGAACCCAAGTGGGCTTTTTGAAGAATAAATGATATTGTAATGTTTGGAAAAAACATGTAAAAAGGGTTTTTAAAAAATCGACTTTTTTTGTTGAAATATGTAGAAAATTATGAAAAAATAAAGTTTCGAAAAGTGTACTGATTAGCCAGACTAGAAAGTCTGTTGATCCCTTTCGCCACGTAGAGGCTCAGTACATGAAAGGGAAACAAGGTTTATTTTCCAATGGGATCACCTTCTAAAACCCATAGGAGGCGGGTGGAGGGGCCCCCCACCTCCAAACAAAAAAAAACAAGAAGTCACCCGAAAAACCCCTCTTTTCGGAGACCATTGTCGGTTAATTTTCAAAAGCTCCTTCTCCCTGATAAGAAGCCACATTGCATACCGCCTTTCATTGTTGTCTCAATTTTTTTAATCTTTGATTAAATCTTTTGCTACTGGGGGACGTTCAGTAATGAAACACCTAGCCATGAACCCCGAAACATGGCGACCCTTAGGGCCTTTTAGTACTTTTTCACATCGGATCAATCGACAGAAAAAAGCAAAAGAAACAACAATAAGCAGCGTAATGCAAAGAGCTTCTTACCAGTGAGAAAGTGCCTGTGAAAGTTATCCAACAATAAAGATTCAAGGAGTTTTGATTTGCCAGAGAACTGATTTTTTTTCCAATACGCGGAATTTTTTCAACTTGGACAGAAAGAGGGGGCGTGACCTAATTTTGATTGATCTAATAATTTATTGCGTTACGTGAATAAAAAAAATTTTTTGAAAAGCTTGAAAAAAATAAATATAAATTGACGTGACCTTTGAAGAACAGTGAAGTAAATAGGTTGAATCGCGCCGAAGACCCAAGCGCCGGAGGTGCGGCAAACAGGCTCGTCTTACATAGAAATTGAGATATTTAAGCTCAAAAATGACAATGGGGGGCCTTCTATTAGAGGTTTTTAAAGTTTAAAAAAAGTAGTAAATTGATTTCAGATTATTCTGCATATGCTTCACAAATGGAAACTATAATGTCATCAACTTTTCGGTAATTTGTATGCAAGATGTGATAGAATCTCAATCGGTGGCTAATCAAACACGTAATTTTGTCAAACAGCTCTCAGAAAATCGTTCTCTCTGAAATTTCCAGATTGGTTAGAAAACACAGCTGACGTTTCTTTCATATTTTCCGCCGGGGCAGTTGGTGCCATAATCGGCCTAGGCCCATCTGTCCCGCTTACTACAAAATATGGTGTTAGGTGAGAAAAGTTGAAATGCCGTGTTTTTCGTTGTTAGAAACTTAAAATATCAGCCCCGATTGCCCCTAAACGGACTACAAACGGGTCAAAAACGACTCAAAAACTAAAAGACCAATAACTTTTTAAAAAATATTTATTTTTGAAAAAACAAAATGGATATTACGATAGAAAATCCTATTATCCTTGTCTGAGAAAAAAAGGTTGAGACGCAGAGAAAAAGTGTCTGTGTCTCCACCTTATGTGTGCTATTTATGCTCTCCTCTTCGATATCGCTACCGTATTCAGACTGCAAAAATACTCTCCAACCTTTTATTTCTCAGACAAGCATAATAAGGGCTTTAAAATGAGTATAAACAAGAATATAATGTTTAAATTTGATTTTAAAGGCGCATAAAGGGTCCAAAATTTGAATATCAAGGAAACTAGGTCATGATTATACTTATTTCAAAGCATACTTGCAACGGGCCGGGCCGGGCTTTTTTCAGAATTTTCAGTGGCCGGGCCGGCCCCGCCCGTCTCGGCCCGGGTTTTCAGAAAAAAATTTTCTTGTATTTTCACAAAAATTTTTGGGGTCAATAGAAAAAATGGACAATTTTTCTGTCAAGTAAAAAAGTTTTCAAAATAAGAGTGTCCATAAAAAATGATTTTTTTCACAAAAAAGTTTCAAAAAATGTCTGAAATTTCAAAAAAAAAATTTCAAATTTGGAGAACCCGGGACCGGCCAGGCCCGCGGGTCGGGCCTTGATTTTGCAAATATTTTTCAAAGCTCTCAATGCGGGAATTTCAAAAAAGTTAAATTTGATATAAGCTCAAGTGTTGTTCAAACAGACTATAAACGGACCAAAAACGTACCAAAAACGATTCTTCTTATTTCAGAAATATTCTATCATTTTATGGACTGCTAACCGCTTTCGCCACTTTGGCATTTCCTCTCGCCGTCTCCATCGGGTATTATCCAGTTATTTTTGTTCGTATGGTCCAGGTAACACAACTTTAATACACAAAAATTTAATATTTTCCTCTAGGGTTTCGGTGCATCTATCCTATTCTCCGCTATTGGCAGCATTTCCGAGGGATGGTCTCCGATTTCTGAAATCAGTACTTATGTTGCATTCTTATCAGCTGGATTTCAAGTAAAATAATCAATTTTATCTGAAATATTTTGAAAGTTTCTAGATCAGTAACATCGTGTTGATGCCGGTGTCTGGAGTTCTTTGTGAATCTCAGTTTGGTTGGAGATCTATTTTCTACTTGTTCGGGGGTATTTCGGTGGTCTCTCATCTCATTTTCTTCACATTCTTCCGAGATTCAGCAAAGGTTCACAGGTAATATAGTTTTCGGAATTTTTGAAAAAATTTTCCCAATAATTTTAGAAATGTGAGTCATAAAGAGCTTCGGAAGATTTCAACGGGACGAATGGAAACAACCGGAAGACAGCCTGTCCCATATCTTGCTGTATGCAAGGATAAAGTGGTTTTGTCTATCTGGGCAGCTGCAATCGGAGGAAACATGTCTCTTATGGCTTTAATGACCTATGGGCCGACTTACCTGAATAAAGTTCTAGGACTAGACGTCCGTGAGACTGGATTTTTGAATGCCATACCATATATTTTGGCAACGGCAGTCAAATTTGTGGCAGGACCTCTCTCCGACAATCTGACATTTATTCCCGAAACATGGCGAATGATTTTCTTCGCAGCAATTTCTCAATTGGGATTGGCTATTGGATTCTTCGTAATGGCGTTGGTATGGAACTTTTTTATTTCTTCACAATGGCTCCCAATTTTCAGACAAGTTCAAGAATTATTGCACAAATCGCCTACACAACCGCAATTGTCCTCGCAGGGATCAATATAGTCGGAGTCGTCAAATGCGCTCAAATGGTATAAAGAAATTTTCGGAAAAATTTTCCAACGATTTTTTGGAAAACTGTCTGAAAATTGTTTGAACGAGATTTTGAAAAGTTGTTCGAACGATTTCGAAAATCACACACCCCGGTTTCATATGAGGAGCCTAACTTACACAACATGATTTTTACGCCACTGTAGTTCATGGTTCAAAAAATGGTCTAACATGCACCTGATGCGTTTTCTAGATCATTTAACACGATGGCTTAACGTTTTCGAGTTTAGTTTTTAGGCCATCAACTTTTATGACCTGAAAATGACCACATATTCACCCGGTGGGTTTTCTAGGTCATTTTGCCATGGTGGCCTAACTTTCGCAAGTTGAGTTTCTAGGTCATCATGGTAAGTGGTCTAGAAAACAAACCAGGTGAATATCAAGACATTACTAGGCCGTTTAACAAGATGGCCTAGAAATACAACTCGAAAAATCGTTCGAAAAAGTTTTCGAAAACTTTTTCGGAATATTGTTCGGAAATTTTCGAAAATTCCCGTTTTCGAAAAACACATACTAGTTCTGAAAATATATTTACAGGTGGCCCGTCAACATGTTCATTTCGTAATGGCTGTAATTTCCTTGAGCGCATGGGGAGCTATTTTCGTCCTACCCATCATTATCGGATTCGTTTGTCCTAACCACACGGCTTCTGAATGGGCAGTTTTTTACATTGCTGTCGGTATATGGGTCATCGCAATGAACATCCCATTCCCGTTTTTCGCCACTATGGAAGCAGCAGAATATACGAAACCAGAATGGGAACAAAAGAAGAAGAATACAGTGGCTCCTGAAGAGAAATGTTAACTTTGTTCCGGAATTACTATGTATTTTTAGTAACAATTTGTTATTCTGTAAATGGTTTGTTACAGAAATTTGGAACGGGAACTTTATTGATATAATAATTTAATAAAGAATTTTGAATCCTAATTTTATTTTATAATTTTTTTTTCTTCCGAAAAATTTCTGTGCCAATTTTAAATCTTTGGAATCTGGGAATTTATTCCCAATTGATTGCTTCGTCAACAGAATCTAGAAGACAAAGCTCGTTTTCTAACTAACTGGAAAGCTGGTGACTTCAAATTAGGCGTTTCTGAAAAACTGATTTTTGACAAAAACAAGTTTTCATTTTCCCAAAAATGAACAAAACCGCTGAACAACTCGATAAAGAAGTATGTGCGCCGGATGGATTACACAAGGCACTCACTTCTCCAATTATGAAAATTAACTTTATTTTTATCATTTCGGTGATTCTCACTAGTTATTTATTCTCCTGCAAAGCTTTGAAAACTCTTCTGAAACACAATATTTTCTCCAATTGCACCAGAAATATCTTATTTGTGTGCTCTATCAATTCCATTGTTCATCAAACTACTATGATGGAAATTCGGGTAACTTTACTTTTTTGAATTGTAGAGGGCTCCTAACATTTAACTTTGAGTCAATTTATCTCGGTTCCTGAAAAAGATAATAAAAAGCGGTCAACTGACAAAATTGTTATCATATATAACAAAAATTTTATCAGTTAACAGATTTTTGATATCTCTTACAGTAACCGAGATAAATTAGGTCAAAGTGGGGCCGTTCTATTACAGTTGTTACGGTAACTGGTTTCAGGTTCGCCAAATATTTCGAAGTATCATTTGGGATCGAGACCCATGTCATATTCTATTCCATTCATCTGATTGTGTCATAGACTTATATTTCTACTACATCACCAACTTTTTCTCAACATATTCAGTGATTTCTCTGACTCTAGACATGTAAAACTCGGTTCATTCTATCTATTTTTAATTTCTTTTTTCAGATTTATTTCCTATAAGTTTCCAATATTCTATCTCTCAAACGAGCACACTATAGTTATCCGATGGTTCGGATTCAGTGGCCTTTGTAAACGATAAAAAGAGATTTAGTCGAGAAAATTACTAGTTTATCCTTATCCAAGGACTAAAATAGTACAAACGATATAAAACATTATGGAAAACCAGCAAAAACCCTAAAACACACTTCAAAACTACACTATAAAAAAACCTAAAACAAACCTAACCAAAAACACGACTTGCCACGTCGTCGGCGAGACGGGCTGTACGCGTACGGCCTCAGCGGAATAGCGGAGCGTCGTTGCGAGTGGGCGCGCAGTACCGTAAGAAAGGGTTGATGAGTTGGCGGGCATGCCTACCGGCAACTTCCCCCTCCTCCGAAAAACCGGACCCCTGACCGGTGGCATGAAAGGTACAGGACCACTCGACTTATACTCAACTCATACTCCTTTTGAAATTACCGTCACGTGACCCTACGCCTTCCTACTCAAACAATAACACAAGAGATTTCCTAACATGTCTTAACGGCCTCAGATTACAAAATTTGAAACGTCCTATTGACCTCATAAAAATTCTAACTGTCCTATTGACCTCACTAGTTACTACAAAACAGAACAACAATAAAAATTTAATATATTCGGCTCCTTCGCCTTGTCCTCAATTTGCACGGTGCTTCTTGATCTTTGGCTCTGAGTCTTCAACGTCTGCTCTCAGTCGATCCACCAACGAGTGGCCTGGGATGGCGCACGCCAAGTATTCCATCATCTTCTCCAGCGATCCTGGTTTCAAGTCGCAGAGGATCAACGGCATCTTCTTGGGTCCTACTGGAGTCATTGGATCCACGACTTCCACATTCGGCGCCGTCTTCCTTACTTTCTGCCATGTTTCGGTGACTCCTCCAACCTCGTCGTATCCGCACTCCATTCTTGCCGGTACCACCACCAATTCCCCAACTTCCTTGGCTATCTCCTACACCAAGTTCACCAACGCCTTCAACTGCTTATCGTCCTTCGTCCATTCGACCAGAACCACCGCCTTCTCCACTTTCTCCCATCCAAACTTCTGCTTCCACGTCGAGATTGTTGCCGTTCTCACTTCGAAAACTGCCTTACTCTTCAATCCCATCCGTTGACCCACGAGAATATACTTCTCCTGGATTATCGCCTTCTGCGGTTGATTCCTATACATCACTTCCTTCTTCAAGCTCTCCGCGGCCTCTCTCCACTCCAATTCTTCCTCCGTCCAGTCGTTTCTCATGATCTTGCTGGCCCATGTGGGACAAATTCCAGCGAATTTCTGAGTGCTTCGAGTCTTACCGACTTGCCGAGCTTCTTCCGAAAGTCCTCTTCACATTTCATGAGATTTACATCTTCAGAAGCGATCTTCTCGTTCCTCGCCAATGTACTCAGCGCCAAACTCTTCGGATCATGACACTCTCCTCCCAAGGCTTCCACATAGTGAGCTTTTCCTTTCTGGCATCCGCATTCCTCCTTCTCTTCTTTTCTGTAAGAATTTACATTATCCAACGTCAAATTCCCATCATCTTTTTCATAGTGTTTCCCTTCTTCTACTACATTCACCGCCACCTTCTTTTTTCTACCGCGCTGTCCCCGTCTAGCCTCGGTTTCACACTTCACCTCTGCCATCTCTTTTGGAACCTTCCGAAGTTGCTCCCACGGGATCCATAACTTCTCTTCTCCTCCTATGAGCTGTACTTCTGCGGAGTTTACTGTCGTTGCCACCACTCTATACGGCCCTTTCCATGGGGTTAACCAACTTTGCATTTCTGGCTCCCAATTTCTCCGCAGGAATCTTCACCAATACTCTGTCGCCTACTACTGGGTACTTCCTCCCAACCACTTTATGCTTTTCATCAAAACCGTCCTTCATACTCTCTCGCTCTCTCTTCATATGATCTCTTGCTGCTTCCTGAGCCAACTGCATCTGTTCCGCGTGGCGTGACTTGTACTCGTCTACGTCCACCTGATACTTCCCAACCAACTCCGTCTGGTCAACCTTCATCGGTATTCTCGGATCTCTCCCATACATCAAAAAATGCGGACTTTCCCCAGTCGCCTCATGTCTACACACATTGTAAGCGAACACCGCGTACTGCAACTTCTCATCCCACTCCGTCGGTATCAACGTAACCTTCTTCAGTACTGACTGAATTGTTCTGTCGAACCTCTCCACTCCTCCATTCATCCTCGAATGATACCCTTTTGTCTTGATCATCTGGATATTTGACATTTTTGCAATCTTCTCAAAGGTAGAGTTTGCAAACTCTAATCCCTGATCTGTCAATATCGCCTTCGGGATTCTTCCTTCCTTCAACATCCAACTCTCTACAAACGCCTTTCCCACTGTTTCCGCCGACTTGTTCGGAATTGCCACAACCCCCGCGTACTTGCTGAACAGATCCACAATCGACAACACGTACCGATTTCCACTGGAACTCAACCCCAAATCCAACAAATCCAAAGCTACAACTTCCAATGGCTCACTTGCTTCAATTGGTGTCAACGGCGAAGTCATAATCTGTTTTGGGTTCCCGCACAGACACTGCTGGCATTCTTTCGACCATTTTCCAATCTCCGCCCTCATTCTTGGCCACCAACACTTCTTTCCCAACATCGCCTCAACCTTGTCTGGATTCCAATGCCCACCGAATGTTCCGCCATGTGCTTCCAAAAACACTTCCTTTCTCTTTTCTACCGGCACCACTCTCAATGCAGCTCCATACTTCGTCACAAACATCAACTCCCGTCCCATCATCATAAACTCCCGAATATCTCTTTCTCCATCTCCTGGAACTTTCACCTTTCCCTCCTGATCCCATTTTCCAACTTCTCTACAATTATCTTCCATCCCTGATCCTTCATTATCAACTCTCTCCAGCCTCTCTCTTTCCTTTCATTCTCTTTAACCGCTTCTACTACGTTGATCACTCGCTCAATCTCCGTTCTGGCTTGCTCATGTGCATCCCTCATCTCCTCAGTCTCTTGCGCTCCACCTCTCGGCAACGCATCTGCTACCGCATTTGCTTTTCCTTTCAAATACACAATGTTCAGCGCGAAATCCTGCATTTCCATCGACCATCTCAATAATCGATCTGCCAAGTTCTTCGTCTTGAACAGACTCGTGAGTGGCTTGTGATCAGTGAACACTGTTGTCGGACACCCGAAGATGAAATGCTTGAATCTTCTTGTCGCAAACAACACAGCCAACGCCTCTTTATCGCTCACATGGTAGTTCTTTTCAGCCGGACTCAACGATTTCGACGCGAACGCAATCGGATGTACTTTCCCATCCTTTCCCGCTTGCGCCAACACCGCTCCAATCCCGTACCCAGATGCATCCGTAAATATACAAAACGGTCTTTCGAACTTCCTCGCCGCTTCCACGTCTGGTTGTGCTAGCACTGGTGCACTTGTCATTTTTCTCTTCAACTCATCAAACGCCTCTTGCTGCTCCTCCGTCCATCTCCATGGAATCTTCGGAGACGTCAACGGTGTCAACGGCGCCGCAATACTTGCGAAATTCAGTACAAAATTCCGGTAGTGCGCGCACATTCCCAGAAACGTGTGAAGTTCCTTTCTGTCCTTCGGAACTGGATATTTCTCCATTTTCTCAATTTTCTTTCCATCCGTCCTCACTCCTTTCTCATCAATAACATGTCCCAAATATTCCACTGTCCTCTGAGCAATCTTACACTTCGACGCCCTCAACTTCAGTCCACAGTCTCTCATTCTCTTCAACACTTCCAACAAGTCCCTCTCATGCTCTCGTTCACTCCCACTAGCAATCAGAATGTCA